ATGCATATTTATTCTTCTTTTCTTTCTGAATTTTTGATCCCTATATTAGTTGGGTTGGCTAGCAACCCTAATCAACCCCCTCCCGCTAAATCAACACAGTTTGACTGTAGTGTTTCATTTCTCAAACAGTGCCTGCGTTAAATAATCGCGAGAAATGTTAACAATGCGCATATCATCGCATTTCCGAATACCCAGAATTCTCTTTTGTCTTAAAACTAGCTTATTCATGTCAAATAGTGAATACCAACAAATGTCAATAAAGGCATGGAAATCTGTTAGATATCCCTACGATTTCAACTTTTTTCTTATACTCAGTAATCAACCATTTTTCATGAAAGCTGAATAGGTCATTATGCAAAAATCATAAAGTGTTTTTGTGTCGCTACGATGATGCATTTATTTTCGATTCAACCACTAGTCCGTATCGCGATATTCCGTGCCCTAATCCTTTATATAGTCATAAGTATARAGAATGGTGCCAAGGAAACGATCTTTGATAAAAGCAACAAAACACGTTAGAAGTACCGTCATTTTTGGAGAACATTTTTAACARCTCATCTTGATGTCGCTACGTCACTTACGTGCAAAGTGTAACGCCACTATTCAAAGAATCGAAAAAATCAGTTGGACCGTGACCAGACGAAAAACTGCATTTCGTTGTACGAACAATCCATCCTTTGACATCCCTCGCTACTTCGTTGTTCCACTGGAATAAGAAAGATATATATAAAATAAAAAAATATACGTCAAGTTTTCAATTTAATTCTCAATCATAACAAAGATAGCCTATGTCACGCACGTTCTAAGGACAGTTAACACATCAATGATTGAAACAAAATGTCATACAAATTCTATATTATTAATTGATTCAGATATATTATTAATTCAAATCGCTTTTCAAATATTTTAACTGCCTTGTATTAACCATCTCTCTTTCTAATACTTTCGATGATTTCGATATTATTTATTTCTTAGTCGATTTTCAGCATAGTTAATAGAGGCATTGTCTGAGGTTTGAAATGCAGTGGACTGTCATTTACAATACACACCCTACAGAGTATAATATATTGGGTCACCGTTAACTTTTTCGCAAGTAATAAAATGAACTTAACCAACCCTTGAAGCCATCTTCGCTTAAAACAATCAGCCAGGCGGGAAGAGTCAGTGTCGTCAGTGGWTCCTGTACTAAAAACTCTTTCGCTTTTTGTTCGCACGCCAGCATCAATTATGCTCATTAATATTAAACTAATCGATCGACTGTGATATAGCGCATGGACAGAAACGCGTATGGCCAAACATGATCAGTGCCAAAAAAGGGAGAAAGTATACGATACAAAGCATGCAAATGTAACATTTTTTAAACTAAATATATTTCTTTCAACTGGAAATATACAAAGAGGACAGGTAAAMTCACGTCGCGTAACTATATTCACTTCGCYTAACCATGCATATTCACGTCCATCGCGCAGCTATAACTCACGTCGATTAACGATATCGCATAAAACTTCTAGTAATTATATTCACTTCGCGTAACCATGTGCATATTACGTCGATCGCGCAACTATAATTTACGTCGCGTAACTATATTCACATCGCATAACTACACATTCACGTCGAGTAACTATATTCACGTCGCGTAACTATATTCACGTCGCGTAACTCTATTCACGTCGAATAACTATATTCACGTCGAGTAATTTATTCACGTCGCGTAACTATATTCACGTCAAATAACTAGACACATTCACGTCGAATAACTACACATTCACGTCGAGTAACTAATTCACGTCGCATAACTATATTCACGTCGAGTAACTATATTCAAGTCGCGTAACTATATTCACGTCGAATAACTACATTCACGTCAAATAACTACACATTCACGTCGCGTAACTTTATTCACGTCGCGTAACTATATTCACGTAGCGTAACTATATTCACGTCGAGTAACTACACACATTCACGTCGAATAACTACACATTCACGTCGAGTAACTAATTCACGTCGAATAACTATATTCACGTCAAGTAACTTTATTCACGTCGCGTAACTATATTCACGTCAAATAACTACACACATTCACGTCAAATAACTACACATTCACGTCGAGTAACTTTATTCACGTCGCGTAACTTTATTCACGTCGCGTAACTTTATTCACGTCGCGTAACTATATTCACGTCGAGTAACTACATTCACGTCGAATAACTACACATTCACGTCGCGTAACTTTATTCACATCGCGT